TCAACAGAAGAAGTCACAAGTAGTGCAAAAAGTTATGGTTCTGAATCATAAATAATCAATATTCATATTTTTCAATGTAGTCGAAAGCACTCAACAACCAAAAAACAAATAACAATAAGACATATCTTATCATTGACTGGATAAAAAACGGAAATCACTTCATTAACAAAAAGTGAAACAAACAACCTAGTGGGCAAAGGGACAAGGTGTCACTCCCCCACTAGAAAGTCCACATAGAAACCTTCCAATCTAAGTTGATGAAGAAAGTGGAATAACTACAAAATAACTTGTCAAGACGACTCCAATTTGAGGTTGTGTACTATACAAGCTTCACAAAAATTAACAAAACAATGGCACTGTACAAATTAGTTTTGGGCTTGCCAAAAAAATGAAACTTTTTGTTAAGGAAATAAAACGAGACTAATGCTCAAAGGTAAAAAGCTCCAAAAAGAAGTGAATAAGAAAGTAGTAAAAAAGTACATTGCAAATAATTATAAAAGGAGAATAAAAGCATAAATTTTTACTTTAATAGCATAACATTTTCAAATTAGATTTTAATAACTCTACTATTATGCTTCATTGAAACAATATCTTATATCATTTTGCATAAGCTTTTATTTCGAAAACTCGCAGAACTAAACCAACAAATTAATGCAAGGACCACAGAAACCAACTAAAATCTACAGATAGGAAAAAGACGAAAACCAAACAATAAGCAAAAGATACAATTGAGAGCAAAAAAAGCAAATTACATACTGATTTGGTACCAACGGAGTCATGATAACTTTTGGCTGCACAACATGTCCCATCGCAAATATACCACCCCCATTTATTCCGTCTAGGCAATGAGCAAACATCTTCTTCACTTTTCTTGAGGAGGCTAGTTGTGAAATAATAGATGAATTTGATTTTCCGAAACCAAGTATCCCATCAAGTGCTTCTTCACCAGGCGAACCTAAATCCCCAGATTGTCTAGCACCACATCTACCAAAAAGGAATAATTAAATAAAAATAATGATTATAAGAAACGTTTAAAAGAAGTGGCTCTGAGTGAAATGATTAAGAGATTAATAGGACAGGAACTCAGAAGGCCAATGTTGACAAAAGCTACAATGTGGCAATTGGCTTCTCTTAGACATTGATAATTGCAATCAGAATTCGTAGATTTGAATTTTCTCACTGTACATCAAATTTGGTAAAATAACACATTTCATCCTTGACCATGACCTACATTTTTCTTAATGAAATACCAAACTTTTATTGAGGAAAAAATTCAAGAATACAAGGGTGACGCAAGAATCCAAGCCCACAAAAGGGAATTCCATTAAAGAAAGGAACTTCACTCCAGCAAAATAAGACCTTAAATAATTGCAAAAAGCCTTCAATGTCGAGGTTAAAAAGAAATATTGAGCCTAGCAAGGGACCAAACATTACACAGCTCCTCCATACTCCCCTAAAGGTTCTATTGTTTCTTTTCCACCACAAACCCACAAGAACGCACAAGCCCGACATGCCATAAATCTCCCCTTCTCCTTAAGCAGTGGATGGATGAAGAACACCTCAATCATCTCCCTGTAGTCTCTATGTCTGACACCCTACAAACCAAAAGCTGCAAAAAAATAACTCCAACCTAACCATACTGAAAATTCCAAAGGATATGAACCAGATCTTCCTCCACTCTCCAGCAAAAAAAATGCAACAAATGGCCCTACCAACAAGAACAAATTCCTCAAGATTTGATCTAACTTGTTCACTCTTTCGTGAATGACCTATCAAACAAAGAACTCAACCTTCTTTGAAATTTTCACCTTCCATAGGGCCAAGAACACTGACTCACTATAAGGAGAAAGATTAAACAAGCAACTAAAGAAAGAATAGGCAGAGAAGCCCTCATATGGGTTAAGGCCCCACGAATGACAATCCCTTCTCCCATGAAGAACTGGGATATTTTTTCATCACTCTTTTGGCATATAAAAATCTCCACAGGCAATCAGAGAAAGCATCCCAATGAAGATGAGAGAGGTATTCAATCTCTTTTCAACACACCTTCCTAAAAATGTAAAGAGTTAGGACCATACCCTGTAATCCCAAAAGAGTAGACAACCAAAATAGCAAGGTAGATAAAATCACCCTCCACAGCAACAAGAACATTCAAAAGAGGGGCACCCCATAAAAACAACATGAATCTCTTGATACTCCAACGTTCAAAGGACATCCAAGCAATGTGGAAACTCCAAATCAATTTGACCAACCTCTGTCCACGTTGTGCTATTTTGTTTCTTTAAGGCTAACCAAATCAAGACTTTCTTGAATAACCAAGTCTCCAGCAAGGGCTCTCTTCCTCCAGATCCATCCACCTTCCAGCTCAGCACTTTCATTAAGCATAGTCACTTCAGCACAAGAATGCATTAGAGGACAATTTAGATAAATGACTGACGGAGGGTGTGTTCCATTCTTAACTTCTCCAGTACATAAATGACCATAGCAACAAGTCACCGCTGTGAAACTTGGGTACCTTCATCATTCAATAAATTTGCCTCTAGTCTCCTTTATAAGAAAAATTTTGTTTTGTACATACACTACGATAAGAATCTTCTGGAGATTTTTAATTTGCACAAAATAGGGAGGCTTAACGTAGGATGGTGGGGGTGGAGTTGGGGGTGGGGTAAAGGAAGCTCCACATGTCATCTGGCCGTGGATATCTCAAATTCCGCCTAATTCTCTTTGGCCCTTCCACTGACTGCTGGTAGCCTAGTACTACGGCTTGAATACCATACTCAGAGCTCAACTTGTAGGAACAAGGACATTTTGCCCTCTCCTTGGACAGCCATTCTCGAGTTCTTTTTTCTTTACGCAAAGACTCCATTATTTTGAGTTTTGCAAGGGACAAAGTTGAAGAGGTTATTGATGCATGGTAGTCTCTCTATAGCTTCTTCATCTTTCCAGACTATAAGTTACCAACCTCGTTCATCACTCCCCAAAACTGAGTTGGAGCTACACGATAGAGTACATAAAAGCAGTATAAAAACAACTCACCCAAACTTGATACTTCCATTAGCAGCTGTAGTCTCTAGGTCTCCAGAAACCCGATCATATTGAACATAGTCCTTGACAAAGATTCCAGCAGTCGAGCTCCCATCACCATATATCTGAAGATATGGACAGGACATATTAGCAGTGCAGCCTGAGAGTGGACCCCCATTCACCTCCAAGCAAAATTGTTCATCACAAGAAACCAATTTTCCAGTAGTGGATTGCTCCAAATCATACGTAGTGAGTTCCATCTGATGCCAAAGGAAAAACACTCCAATTAACCCCTTCGCAACATCAACCAAGAGTAAAAACAACATGCTAAAAGTAACAAGACATTTACTAAAACAATACCCCCAGAGAGCTTCTCCTCGGACACTCCTTACACTGAATACAATTCACCCACACAATGTCACTCCCTGTATCCACTTGAACATAATAGTTCTTGGGAGGAGTCCCGATTCCAATTTTGGCATAGTAAAGTCTGAAAACAAAGTGAACCCTTCAATTAAAACCACATCACAATCGACACATACAACACTTTAAAAAAATTACAAAAACGAATCCACTTACCCGACGGCATCAGGCCGGCCAGAGCCACCAAGGGGAATATCGACGCCGGCAAGAAATCGAAGCTGACGGTTGATGTCGTGCGCCTTAAGAGTACTAAGAGAACGTTGCCGTCCGGCATACTTGTATTTGACGCTGAACACGCCATTATCAGCATAGACGCCGCCGCCGCCGCCGAGGATGGTGCTGGAAAGTAAGTTGATGATTACAAAGAGCAAGACAGTGAAAGGGCGTGAAGTACCGATGGCGGCGGCGGCGGCCATCGTCGACGGTTGTTCAAGCTCCACGGCCTTCGGAAGGGTGTGGACTTGACCCTAAGGGTCTGAAACTTCAAATTGTAAGCAGAGGAAACACCATTTTTACTCTTCCAAGGAAGCGTACAAGAAACCAAACAACCCAATAGGCCCCTGTGTTCTTGACTTCCTTTTCCTTTTTCCATCGCTTAAATTTACTTTTTCTTTTTTCTTTTGTTTTATTTTTCTTCAAAAATATGTATTTTATTCCTCATCAAAAAGTTTCAATTTAATTCTTATATTTTAACATTTTATTAATTTCAAGTGATTAGTAATTGATTATAAATTTTAATTCATTACATTCTCATGCAAACTTCTAAAAGGTAAATTTATTCTTTATTTGGAATGAGAATATCTCGTAAATTAAAATTTTAAAAATTTATTGGATACAAAATTTAAGATTTGATATTTTATTTGCAATATATTGTTTAAACTAAAACATAACAACTGCACATCAAGGGGTGGTGGCGCAGTTGGCTAGCGCGTAGGTCTCATAGCTTCTGAGTTATCCTGAGGTCGAGAGTTCGAGCCTCTCTCACCCCAAATCATTTTTCATTGTTTTTGGGTGGAGTAGCCATGGATTGACTATGCTTCTGGGCCTTTTACTCATGGAGCGGCTTCTCCATCACCTAATTGGGCTCCGGACTTGGTTAGTTGGGGGCATAAAGCTATATACATATACACCCCCAATTTTTATTTATTTATTTATTTATTTATTCTTTGGTCAAATTTTAATAATTTTTTTTTCTAAACATTTAATCTCGACCATACCAAATATCACACTAAAGGGGTGATTGCACGGTCACATAGGACTCATAACTTTAAAGAGTTATCCTGAGATAAGGTCGAGTTTAAACTTCTCTGACCCCAAACTGATGGTAAAGATTAAAATAATGAGAATAATTAAAATAAGGACACATTTTATTAATATGATTGCCCCTTTTTTGTCCTTTACCATTCAAAATAAGATTGGCCAACTCTTAATAGAAATGAATTATAATTCTCAAAAAGGAATTATCCAAAGAATTATTCCCTTATTCCCTCTCACAACATTCAATCAAAACACCTTCAACTTTTGAAAGCCGTCTAATAGAACGAGCAGAAACGTATAACATAACCCGACAATAAAATTACAAAATATCCTAATAAATCAATGATTAAACGAACATCGTTCAAAGGTGGACATTCAAGCTAGCTCCCGAAACTGAAAGATAATCGTCTTAAAAATAGAACGTAGAACACCCGACAAGAATAAGCTTTTAGTACACTATCACACAGCAAGGATTGCATAAATGAACCGTTTCTTTCAGCTTTGTTCCCCTCAATCTCTTACATGGCCTACAAAAAGCCTCGCCTCACTTGGGATGTGTGGTATTGTCCGCTGTGCAGTTCTCTATTTCCCTGTATCACATGATAGAACCTAAAAGACATTGGACATGTTTGGAAGAATCTGTTGCTCTTTCCATAAACCAGAGATAAGAACAAACCGAGGGAAGAAGTAAAAAATAACCGATCGGTTGATCGTTTTCCAGTCATGTCATTACGAGAAACCATCAGTCAGCATACAAAACCAGACAGCATCTTCAAGTTCAAGATGGAATTCATTTGATGTAGAGATGAAACAGGCAGTTTTCCCCCATCAATCCCAACATCATGGGACAAATGGGTATTCATTCATCCAGCCATATGTGTGGACCAACGAGAGATAGTTAGCACTCGGTAAGCCACGAAAGTAAGAACTGAACAAACGAAAGGAACAAAAGTAAGAACTGAACGAACGAAAGGAACAAAAGTAAGAACTGAACGAACGAAAGGAACAAAAGTAAGAACTGAACGAACGAAGGGAACAAAAGTAAGAACGATCGATTGATCGTTGCCAGTCATGTACTACAATTTACAACAAATGATCATCTTAATCCAGAACAAGAGAACACATCGATCGTTGTCAGTCATGTACTACAATTTACAACAAATGATCATCTCAATCAAGAACAACAGAACAACTCCAAATTCAAGATGCAAACCAATCATAAATTCAAGACAAGGCAGTCAGTTCTTAATCCCTACCTCCCCTCCCATCCAACTACATCTGGCGAGGCAAACGGGTACTCATCCAGACATGCGTGTGGATCGAAAGAAATAGTTAGCACTCAGGGAGAACCAACTAAATGAACAAGAAACTATCATTCATGATACAAAGCTAGAAAATGCCACCAAGTTCAAGATGCAAAACAATCATAAACCCAGATGAAGTAGGCAGTTCTCCCACACGTCTCCCAGCGACATCGAGCAAACCCGTATTCATCCAGCCATATTTGTGGGCTGAACAGAAACAGTTAGCACAATATCTGGCATTGGTTAGCACTCGGGAAGTCAGAAAAATATGAAACAAGACCAAAAAAATGGAACATCAAAAGAACCATTATGGTATTTTGTTTTACAGTTAGGTTAGGTACCTCAGCAGCATGTGCAGAGGTGTGAAGCAAAAGGCTGTTGGTGAAGCTTTGATGGGGCTCCCACCACTGCATAAAAGCCACTCAACTAACTAAGATTGGAATTGCAAAATCATCAAATTAACAGAGCAGCAAACATAATCAGAGACAGGCAACCAAAATTTGAAAGAAATATAATGCTTTCTCAATGTTCTACTTATTACAATTTATTAATATCTTAACCTTAAAGAATTGAATCAGACTCTTAACTCCAATGAATCATTGGCTGATCTAAAACCTGAGACGTTCTTCTTCTTCTTCTTCTTCTTCTTCTTCTCTCTTCATCCATCATCAAAATCAGACCAAACAAAGACAGTTTCAGAAAAAATCATCTCTGCCCACAAATGGAAAATTTTATGATTGCAAAGCACGAACTCAAGTAGAAGATCCATGCCATCTTCTTTAACAATCTAGAAAAATCTCCATTTACAACAGTCTCTCAATTTTGCAGGCTCCTTTAGTTGCATAATCTAACAGTACAAGCCACCGCTTGCGCCCAATATTTGAGCCTCGCTTTAACATCTTCTGGATGATCACCTGAACAGAGAACAATTTCAAAACCCAATATAAACAAACTCACTCATATTCAACCTAAACCAACAATTCAAAATATGAGCGGAAGACTAAAAAATTCAAAAACTATCAGTAAAGCACACACATAGAGAATTTCTTTTCAAATTTCCATGCATAAACACCAACTTTCCTTCTAAACACTACTAATTTTTCCAATCAATATCGAGATTAGGAATCGAATCGAATCGCTCACCAGGACTAGAGATCTTCCAATTCGGAATCGGACTGGACCCCGAATCCACCGACTCGGGCGGAGAATGTTCCGGAACATTCTGGTGGTCGTCCATAAACTTCTGGCTCATCGAATAACAGAGCTCGAGCGCCGGCAATGTGTTACAGAGCTCAGGAATCTCGTCATAGCAAAACGCAAACCCTAGATCCACACACCCCTTGAGCTCCTCGAGATCGTCATCCGTCAAACTCTTCGTCCTCGTCAAATTTTCCTCATCTGAAACCTCCACAAAGCCCTCAAGCAAGATCTGGTTCTTCTTCTTGTTCTTTTTCTTCGTGTTGTTCCAGTCCGTCAGAACAACGGACTCGTCATGATCGTCTTCGGAACTGAATTCAGGCTCGTAAGGGAAGATTTGAGGTTCTGGGTCCCCTCCAATGGCGGATTCAGGAGAAATCTGAGATTCAGTTCGAGACGAAAGGGGACTCATTTTTTCCAATTTTGGGATACGTCGGTTTTCCTCCTTCATATGTTTTTGGCTTTTTTTTGGCCAAACGAGTAGAGGGAAATGAATTGAAGTTTGTTGCTAAAGCTGAGCCCACCTGGCATGAATATATATATATATACATACATATATATATATCTATATTTTTTTTTTTTTTTGCTTGCTATGCTATGATATTAAAATTTCCTCGATGGAATTAGTTCAAATTTTGGAGATACAATTAAAAAAATTTAAATTGAGGGGCTAAGAATTTGATTATGAAAATTGTAGGGACTAATTTGAAATATATACTTTATTATTATTATTTATTTATGTTTTATTATACAATATTTTTGAATTAAATTTTAAATATTATTAAAAGGTTTAATTTTGATAAAGTTGTTAATTATTAATATATTGACTTTGTAATTAATGAAGTTTATATAACAACACACCATTGTTGCCATTTAAAAATTTGGGCCTTGCGACTCACAAAAGCCCATATTATTTCCAGGCCCAATTAGATAAATAACAAAAATATATATATATAATATAAGTAATATTAAATAAAAAAAAAAAAAAAAAAAGAAATGGTGAGAAATTATTATTGTGGAGAAAGGGGAAGTAGAAAGGAGGCAAAGATGGAGAATCCAATTATGTGGTCTACCAATGTACTGTCCATTCAATGCTCATTCATATCTCCATCATTGCCATTTTACCAATTTCACACTTTTTTTTCATTATTTGCCCTTTTGTCCTTTTATATCTTATTGCTTTCATTTTTGTTTTTTCTCCTTTTAAATTCTTTATAATATATACATATATATTTATACTTTTTTTGAATTAAAATTGGAGTATATTAAAGCAACTAATACCTTTAATTAAATAAATGGTTGCCAAAAAGATGTTTTTTTTAAAATAAGTGCTTTTAGAAAGAAAATTAATTAAATGCTCTCTTAAAAGTGCTTTTAATTCGAAAAAGAAAAAACTTTTTCTCTTCTCTAATTTTTTAGCCTAACATGGCATTTAAAAAAAAAAAAATCCCTATTCCTACTGCCTTAATTTTAATGCCTCATTTTTGCTTTAAAAATTAAAAAGATAAATATTTAAAAATTAGAGTCCCACATACAAAATATTCTGGGGAAACAAAAACGAAAGCCACGAGAGCTTACACTCAAAGTGGATGATATAATATCATCATTACGAAGGCTTATGCTCAAAGTGAATAATATAATATCATTGTCACGAGAGTTTATGCTCAAAGTGAACAATATAATATCATCGTAAAGGATCGGAGTTCCTGAAAACACGTCCACAAACAGAGAGGAGAGAGTGAATTAAAGAGAGAGTATGATGAGAGCGAGAAGAGGGGAAAATGTGAAAGATAAACATTACATCTGAAAATGAAATGTTGTTGAAAGATAGATGAGATAAAAAAAAGGAACTACTTCAGACTGGCATCCTATGCAATCAACACGCAACATCTCAGGCTCTTTTTTTCCTTTTCAAAAATTTAAAAAAAAAAAAAGAAAAAGAAAACAGGCAAAAGAGGAAAGTTAAAAAGGCAGAGCTGAGAACAGACCCCATGGGACCCTATAGATAGCAGGTGAGCAGTGTGGGCTTCCCAAGGACCCCCCCACCCTTTGCGTTCACTCCTACTTTTTCCACAAAGGACACTGCCTTTTTCATACTCATCTCTGCAAATTTTCCAGCCTCTCTCCACACACACACAACAGATAGTTTGGTAGTATATCATCATACCTCTTCCCAGCTGGGGCTGTCTTCAATCTTCCCTCTTCCCTCTTCCCTCTTCCCTCCACTTCCTTGGCAATGGCCTCCCGCCTTTCTCGAGAAGCTCAAGGCATCAGTTCCACCCATTCGTATCGTCCATCGAGAGGCTTGTCGTTTACAATATCATAATTGTACCTATACACAATCATTCAGGGGGGGCTTGTAAGAAAGTTTTTCCACAACCATCAAAATGCTTCCACTCTGCTCGCATCTATCGTATTCTCAATACTAACACTAAACAGGGAAGAGCATCTCAGTTTTAGATTATGTAAAGTCAAAAACTTTAATGGTTATAGAGGAAGTATTTTGAGCAGAATAAATACTTGTCAATAAATGATCTCCGTTGCTGGTGCTCTGCAGTGGCAAAGAACTCCTCAATCTCTTGTGCTGGTGTGATGGTTCTTTGCAGGTTGTCCGCCGTGCTTTCACTTGCACCCCTGTACAGTACAAAGAAATTCAATATCATTTTAAATCCACGAACAATGAAGGCCCGTGTTCATAAGAGTTTTTTGTTCTTAAATAATAACCATCTATGCTTGTGATCCATTTGACTCAAATTTACTTTTGGAAAACATTGTTAAAATTCTAGCCACATTTTTTATGAAGTAAAACATAAAAGGTAGAATAATTGTTTTAGTCTGTTTGATTTCAATTTGATCTCTCTAGCTTTAAAACTTTCAATTTGGTCCATAAAATTTAGGTGTCTTTCAAAAATGCCCATGACTATTACCATCAAAACATTTTTTTTTGTAGTAATGCCAAAGGCTTTTGAGAGATTTAACCAAATCATAAGACCAAATTGAAAGGACTGAAATTCACACAAACAAAAGACACTAACTTGGTAATTTAATACTCAAACCAAAATAAAATAAACAACTACAATAAATAATCTTACTTTTTTTAAAAGCTAAAACAGTAGTAAATAAAAGAAAAAGAAAAACCGAAGTTAAAATTATCACCAAGGGGCCTGTATATACATTCCTCATTCATGCTAGCTCTTAGATATACAGAGTAAAAATAAATAAAAAAACATAAAGTTAGTGGCAAAGAAGCAATGAATCTAATAGGACAAAATCAGTGTCAACTGGCAGCAGCAGAATACCAAAAGAAAAAGTTGTAATAACTGCTTGTTAGCTAGAGAAAGCATCATCAACACAGAGGCATCCCATGATACATGTTCCGGGACATATCTAGGCCCCGTGAAAATGATATGTCATTGCAAATGAATATAACGTCATTGACTTTATGGATTTTCTGAATACCAAATAATTGTTTCTAATAACACAATATCATAAAACTTCTAAATTGAATCTCTTTTCAACTAATATCATGATAAAGAAAGGAAAAAAGAAGGGTTCAGGAAAAATAGGTAAGATGATTTATCTAAATTATGATGTCTTGATCGATTTAAGGTATCAAGCTACTTTACTTTCTTTTTTTTTTTTTTTTGGAAATTGGCTGTATTATGTTCTTATCTATTAATATGTTTTTGCTTCTCCGAATCTATTGTGGCAAATACATAATTAGAACTTTCTTTGTAATTGTAGTACAAAATAGTTAGAAATGGGAATATTTGAACCTTTGACGTTAAATAAAGGAGTAGGTACCTTAATAGTTTAGTTTATATTGGCTAAAGTATTTTAGTATTGGAGGAGGAAAAGACTCAAATGATATTTAAATTCTCCCTAGCACTGTGGACAACAAAATCAAGCAAAATATTAAAGACCCAATTGACAACTGACGAAGTTTTTGTTTCTGGTTTTCTATTTCTAAAAATTATGATACACAGAACATACCAAATCTATCATAATTTGAATGAGTAATCAAGGAAGATTTAAATTTATGTAAACTAAAAACAAAACATCTTTCGGCAAGGAACTGCAAAGCAACAGAGTGGTTTACCAAAATTTTTGAAGCTTCCATATGCAAAAGGACAATAAACCAATGTAAAGCAAAAATTACGGCAGAGAAAATTTTGAATAACGTATGGCAGAAAATAAATGCAATTGGTAGCTCTACAGCCCAAACATATTAAATTATTGATCCCAGCAAGAACAGAATTCAAAATCAATAGACAGGAAGAGTTTCCAATGTTTGGATACATGTAAGATTAAATTATGTGAAAGAATATAAATAATCCACGAACCGCTAGAGGGTAAAAGAGAGGCCTAAGTTTATGAAGAAGAAAGTTCAAAAAGTTTTAGGGCATGTTTTGAACACTACTGTATCTGCATATACATATATATGTGTTTTCTTTAGTATGTTTTACTTCTTCAAAAAGACTTTTGAAATCTTCGCCAAATTTTTTTAAAAAAAAAAAAAACTAATTCTCTAAACTAATTTCAGAATCACGATTGAAGCAGCAGAACAGAAATGTACCTTCTTGAGATTTTGAACTCCAAATTCTGAGCCTGAGATTCAAAGCCAACAATCTGGCTCTCACAGTCCAAATTAGAGGTCGTTTTCACGGAGGAACTGGAACTGCGAGCAGACTTCTTAGGTTTTGATGTCTGTTTGGCGGAAGCCCCAATGGACCTGTTGGTTTTATCGAGGCGGCGGGTGCGGAGCTGGAGATAGGAGAAGGAGAGGTCGGGAATGGCGTCTGGAAGGGAGGATTTCTGCAGTTTCTGCAATGCGAGGGATTTGGAAGCGGCTCTGGTGCGGACAGTGGTCGTGGTGGGCTGTGAGAAGACCTCCATGACTGTGATATCGGCGGCGATCTTGGATTTGTTCATGTACTTGCCCATTTTGTCATAGGATTCAGAGCTTTGAGGTTTCAGAGAATGAGAAGATGAGAGAGGTTTTAGAGCGAGAGAGAAGAAGAGGAATTGAAAATTTGTAAGGGAAAAAAGAAGAGGGAAGAGAGGAAGAAGAAGAAAGTGGGCGGGGGAGGGAAAACGGACAAACAAAACAATCATATACAATTTTCTTTTCTATTTTTCTCTTTTCATGTATTTTCTATATATATATATATATATATATATATATATATATATTAAATCGACTTATATTATTACAATTTTACCCCATCCATGGCTTAAAATTGAGTCCTTGGCATCTGTTGTCGTGACATTACGGTGGTTGATTCAACCTCGGTACTGCGTCTCGACCTCAGCTTGTGTGCCTCCTCTTTATGAGCGAGGGAGGAATCTTATGTTAACCATTTGAAAGACGATGTTCTCGATGCGACCCCAGGTCAGGCGAGACTACCCGCTGAGTTTAAGCATATCACTTACAAAGATCCCCTTAGTAATGGGGAACGAACCGAGAAAAGCGAGTATTTAGAGGTCTTAGTTAGTAATCCAATTTATCTTCATTCCTGACAACAAAGCTTACTTTTCTTATTTAAAATTTGTAATATTATTTTAATTTTAAAAAATAAGTCATATGATTTATTATTTTAATCAATTAAACTATATGAAGTATATTTAAAAAATTAAAAAAAAAAAAGGCTTTTAGCTAAATTTAGGGCTTTAAAATGTACCAAAGTTTGTAGTCATTCATCACACAAACCTATGCAAAATACAAAAGGTCAAGCTCCTCATAATTTTCCCTCCAATTCTCTCTTAATGTATTATATTTACTAATATGCCAACATTTACACTTTATAAAATTTTATATTTATGAACCTCATTTCACCATTAATTTTGTATAATCAAACAATTATATTTTATTCAACAATATAATCATCATAGTTCATAGCTTAACTCGTAAGACGTATCCTCCTAATCGAGATGAGGCTAACTTGAGCATAACTCAACTCGTTAAAACATTTTCTTTCGATCGAGATTACCCACACAGGTTGAACTAAAAAGAAAATATTACTCGAAGTTTGGTCAGAAAATGTCATATGAATGAACGCAGCATACATACCAGAAGTTTGGTGTTGCTATTTAACAAGAAACCAGCCCCAGGCGCCTGTCCACTGTCTGTACATATTGAAGAAGCAGCAGCTGAAAATTGAAGATAAGGGATCCTTTTAACGCCTATTCTGTACAAAGATGAGAAGTTTTTAACGCCTATTCTTTTTATTCGGCATGGGAACAAACATACAAATTTCAGTTTATAGACCATCTAGACACCAGAGTAAGAGATCATTCCAAGAACCAGAGTCTTCTATAGATTTCGACATTTTAGGTAGGTCGAGACATATTTTGATCAGTTCTACTGTCATTGGAGTTTGTCTGAGTTCTAACATCGACATCAGAATTGTCCTCTTCGCTCTCACGAGCATCGCTAGATAGTTCGAGAATAGCGCCAATGTCCTCTGAGCTTTCTGAACCTTCATCATTAGCAATAATAAAGGTTGTAGAACCTTCCTCTAACATTATTTCTGTCACTATCCTCGACCTCATAGTTGAAAACATTGTAGGAAGTACAAGCTTAAACTTGTGCTCTGGTCTATGTTGTTGGTTGAACCGACCGGGACGCTTCGAACGTGTATTATAGCATTCGCCACAGAGGTCAAAACCTACTTCCTCGAAACAATCCTCGCACTTGTATCTATCACCAATGATGGGATACATCTGCAGTGTACAATAAGAGAGTACTATCACTAACCAAATGATTTCTTTCTTGAATAAATATCCTTATTTGTACTCAATAAGATACCATAAACTTACTCTTATACATAGCATCGGCCACAAACCAAAGAGTTTGTTATAATGAGATGGAGTGGGATGAAATGAACGAAGACAGTTTTTAGTAAGTTTAGGCTTGAGTTTGAGTGTTCAAGAAGAGGGAGGTTCCACGTGCGTTGAATACTTGAAGTTATATTGCAGTTTTTCTATCTTTTATGTTTCAATATTATTCTAACTCGCTGTTTGGTTATATCTTTTATAGTTCAGCAACAAAGATCTCAAATAGTATGAGAGGAATGATAAAAATAAAAGGAAATTACCCCACACGAATCGCATCCAACAGCAGGATGCACTTTAGAAGCAACTTCGTCCCATCTTGGTAGACCCTGTCCCTTCTTACCCCCTTCTTCACTGGAACCTGGAAGCAAATAATAAACTTAAAATAAAGCAAACTGATATTATACAGACTAATTTTGTATTAATGAGAATACCTTGATGAATCATTTTCAATATTGTAGAGCAACAATATGCCATCAAGCATTAGAAGTACATTTCTACACTGATCCGAAGGATTGAAGAAGAACAAGATTGTAAATTACACCATCATTTTCTATCCCTATATGTGTACAAAGTTTTGTTTTCCTGATCATATAGACAGGTAAACATTGAAATAAAGAAAATTGCATCACTTCAATGATCATATAGACATACCGGAAATTTTAGATGGTCTATCTATTCCAGCTCTTACGACAGTCCATGTTAAGGCATAGTATGCATTGGATAAGGCATCCTACTCAAACAATTCACAAAGCAATTTTCCTACAAGCTCGAACACATATATAGTTTGGACAACTAAACTACCTTCATTCAGCACAAGTTGAGCATGAACGCAAGTGCGAAAAATACATGAACTAGAAATGAAGAAACAAAAAAGAGAAGTAGCATGAAATGAAAAGCACGCACTACAAGCACAACAAATGGACTAATCTAAGATCACAAATGCTATAATATTGAAGCTGATAAATTAAGCAAGTGTAAATAAACGTACAGGAAGTTGGACTCTCATGCTTGAAAGTTTCGGCTAGTTTAAGCTGAACTGAGTCACTTCGAAGCTTATATTCTTCAGGAAGTTGTTCCTTCAAAAACTGATCAAGCTCCAAACAGACATTTGGAAATCCCCTTGGTTGCAAAGACTGGCAAACTTGACACTCAAGTGTCTCAACTCGCAAGTTGATACAACTCTCACAAAATGCTGTAAACATAAAAATAAGTTCTATTGCAACCTTTCTGGCATTGAAGTCAAGATATTTTGGGAATGGTATTAAATTTGAAATACCCCTGATATTTTAAATATTACTTTTAGTATATAATTGAGGATAGAAAAAAATGCAGGCCCACAAGGGGATGAAAAGAGATTATATATACCATGACCACAGTTAAGAACCACTGGACGGAGGAGCAATTGGGTGCATGCTCGACAAAGCACATCGGCAACTGTAACCGTCTCCTGGTTTTGAGTATTTTGACCGTGAAGATCTCCAAGAGAATTGAGGATTTCAACCGAAGCAGATCGAACAACTTCAGAATTTTCTTCTAATATTAATTCAGCAACAACGTTGTCATTTTTTGTATTTGCATTCATCTCACCATTAGCAGAATCTTCTAGGTGTTCAATCTTTTCACCAGCTCGGGAGCCACATGCAAGGGAATCATATTGTGGAGAGAACAGGCCAAGTTTCCTTTCCTCTTCTGAAAATGGAATAATTTAAATGAATAAAACAGTAAAAAGAGAATGGTACAGAAGAGAACTAAAAGATAAAAATATCTCTGCCCAAAAACTAGAAAAATCAGCCATGAACCATTATTCATTTGCATTAAGGAAATTATATTTGCACGAATATAGTTCCACTTATTAAATAATATATATGAGATTCACTTGAATTTCAACATAAACATCAAATGCATAAAGTAATGAATCATTTGTGTTTTAAATTATTTTTTTCAATATGGAACATAATAAATGTTGAAGGAATGACCAATATTTGTGTAATTCCTAACCTTAAGCTGAGAGATATTTGTGTAATCCCACTAAATAGGGGAAGTAGTTGACCTCTCAAATGTATTTGTACACCTAACATCTAGGGATTTATTTATATTTGTGTTTTTCCATATGAGATTTCATTCATCGCATTTACGCCATGGATAGAAATGCTGCTCAAATCTATGAATGAAGATCATGACCAAAGCCATGAAGCAAGAAGGAAAATTTGTCATTGAATATGTCAATATCTTACAAACATTGTGGCCAGAACTCAATTATTATAGGATATTCGAGATGAATTGTACTACATATATCTTAATTCTGAAGAAATTTATCGAAACAGATCATGTCTATGAATTTTTACCAGGTCTCTACTTAATTCTGAAGAAATTTATTGAAAGCAGATCGTGTCTATGATTTTTTACCAGGTCTCAACAACGAGTTCGACCAAGTATGTCTACAAATCATCAAAAGAGAGAAAACATCCTCCCTAAAAGAAACAATTTCCCTTATTCAAACATAAGAGAGCTGATGGAGCCTTATGCTTGACAAACAATCCAATTTTATATGGCATCGGCCTTTGCTGTAGAGAAAGATAGAAACAACAGAAAAGAAAACCAATGGAGAGTAACAAAGAAATGTGTACTTGTTGCAAAAAACTGCGACACACGAAGAAGAGTTATTAGAAGTTGAACGAAAAGCCTCCCAGTTGTGAATGGAGAAATCGGAGAAGCTCACAAAATCATGGTTTAGGAAACAAGGGAGAAATGTTGAACGCACGAGCATACATGGTAGAGGAGTCCAAATCAAAAACAAAACAACCAATTGTGGAGACTAGTGGATTCAATGATGAAGAAATTGAGAGATTGAAAGTGTTCTTGGACACCCCTCGACAAACCATCAAGTTCCAGTGCATTGACAATCTTAAGTAAGTTTTCATTCACTTTTTGTATAAACCCTTCAGAGATAAGTTAGGTTAACTCTTGGACTATAGACTTTTGTGCAATTGATCATACGACTAAAACATATAAATCATTCTCAAGTAGTCGAAAAATTATATTGGCAAATCATGGCTGTTTGTTTTTAACAGCCATGATTGCAGCTATTGAAGATATTATTACACAGTGATAACAGCAGAAAATAGAAAGCTCACCTAGTGTTTGATTTTGCCTTCTCTTATACGCCATAGGGTACATCTTCAGGATCAATAGGTGAAGCATCTCACAGATGGTTGGAAAGTGATAATATGGACGCCTACAAATTGGACAGTGGGACTCACGAAAACCATTCATGGATTTGTGCACACACCAAAAACATGAAATATGACCACAAGCTGAAATAGAAGAAACCAAAAATTAACAAACAGATGGCAACTCTCAAAAAAGGAAAATTATGGCAAGCATTTAATTATACTCACAGAGCACTATTGGCTTGTAGAGAAGATCCCTGCAATTCACAACCAACTTAAATCAGCCACACATGTAAGAAGAAACTTATAAAAACAAATAGTAGTAACAACAAAGGATAGACTGCATCTTTTTTTCCTCTGATCGTTTGCTTCTTGTTGGGATAGATTGCTTATATGCTTCAATCTTTTCTAGGCTTGGCCAAAAAATTGAAAATACTTTTTGGGTTGGTTCAATCTTTGCTGGGCTTGGCCTAAGGGACTAGAAGAGCTCCCAACCTATTAAAGAGGGTTGGTAATCTCTCGTCTTCCTCACTATTGACCTCTAGACAAAATGCATAAAAATGAAAAGGCAACGACTAGTGCATTTCGTCCAATTATGCAAGATATCAACCCACCTGGGTAGCTTTTGGGCCAAAGGAGGAAAGGCTTCCCAAACTGGAACTTTTTGTATGCACGATTTTATAGAGAAGAATAGCCTTCGTATGAAAACCTTCAGGAACTATATATCTTAACCATGTAACTCTATATCTTAACCATGACATATGGGTTTATAGCGGGTCCCCAACCCAAACCAATAAATAGCCATCGGTTCTGGAATACGCAAGGCAGTAAGATGGCGAGATGAGGCCATCTCACCGGAAATCGGTTCTTTACCATTTACGTTGGCCAAGTTCAGTCCTCCAGCCATTAAAAACGACTACCAATTCAAATCACAAAAAACTAGGGCAAATTCCGGGACGCCATTGACAATAACTGATTATTCTAATTCCTAATCTCATCTATAGAACATCTCAACAATGCAGGGCACGCACATGCATATCTGCAAACATGAAGCACCGATAGAACAAAAACAAAATTCCTAATCCTTAGAATAGGAAACTCCATGCCAAACAAATTGAAATAAAGCAACAAGTATTAAACAATAGCAATCAGAAATGATTCCAACATATTTAAATCCCCCTAAAACAAAAGACAGAGAGAGATATTTACAGAGAGATAGAGGAATAGAACTCACAAGCAGACACAGCAGAGGAAAGCGTGAGGAATGTCGTCGGAGTCCACATCGTCAAGCATCTTAGAATCAGCCATTGACAAGGTTCTGGAGAAGGGGAGAGAGACGAATCTTCTGAAAAACTGGGGAAAAAATCGGAGGAGAGAAAAGATAGGGCGGCGAACAGATAGAAACATGAAAATGGGGGATTTGTGATTCACGGAATAGAATCAAATAGCAGGCTGTAATTGCACTGTTCGATTACCAACCAAAATCAAAAATCAAAATCAAAATCAAAAATCAAAATCAAAATCAAAAATCAAAATAATTGTCGATCCTTCGTTACCATTTTTTAAGATAGATGACGAGATGTGAAGCCAACGCCTTATAGTTATGCTAACGGCAATTATTAATTAATAATAATATCATAATTAAGATTTTATTTTTTAAATTAAGACAAACAAAAAAAAATATATATATATATATATATCTTTCGGCGTTTTAAAGTGCTCAAAATATCAAGGTGTCTATTTTTATGGAAATGTCTTACGCCCATGGTATTATTAGAATATTATAAATATATAAAATTCATTAAAAAAAATATTTAATTTCATCTTTTTAAATAATAAAAAATTATGGTTTATATTTTTATTACATACCATAAATTTTTTATAATATAATGAAAATGTCAACTTTTAAATCCATAAACGCATAAAAATATGACATAGATAAAAGTTTAAAAATCTCGAGTCCAATAGTTGAAATGGACAAAGTGTTTTATTTCTAAAAAATGAACATGGATGATGAAAGTCTATCCATTAATTTAGAGAATGATCATGGATTTATAAACAAAGAACATTCTCTTCGTTGGTATGAGACTTTTTTGGGAAAGCCCAAAGCAAACCATGAGAGCTTATGCTCAAAGTAGACAATTTCATACTATTGTGGAGAGACGTGTTCGTCTAACAGACCGAAGTGATGAACCCTATGAAATTCTCGATTTTAAGAAAATACTAGATTTATAAAATAAGTATTAAAAATTATGTTTATTTATTATTATTATTATTATTTTGGAAAAAAAAAAACAAGGAAACTCACGTGTAAAAAAGATCATAAATTTTATCTCTAAAAAATTAAAAATTCGTCAAATGGATTTTTAAAAATTAAATAATCATATGAAATTTAAAATTTTAATTTTAATAGCATTACTTGGATAATTATTTTCCTTTAGGCAGCAAAATTGTTTAACACATTTCTTATATGAATTAAATAATCAAGCTTTTTTTTTTTTTTTTGTAACATAGAAAACTAAAAATGGAATTATTATCGAAATGATCTAAATCTTTATCTCCAGAAACTGGTATCAGACTAAGAAAGTTTGTTTTACAACTACCAGTAACAGAATGATATGGATTCTCGTATGGTTTTGAATGCTGTTGGGTCATCTTAAAACCCACACAAAAGTAATACACCTCGTATCCATCCGTAAACGTTTCAATTGAAAATGAATGAAAATGTGCACTAGATTAGCTAGCTAGCCCTGTGATAAGGCCGCAGCATGCCCATACTTCTGCATCACTCTCTTTGTTGCCAATGCTGCCGCTTCGCTCGCACGCAGAGTCCCCGTTGCCATGATCGCTGCAAATTCTCGGCCAATTTCTTCCTGCACCTTGCTACGAGCATCCCCAAGTGGGTCAGCACTCCCATTTGCTTTTGATTTCTGTGGCTCTGCACCCATTGTCTTCTCAAGTGGCTTGGCAACAGATGATGATCTACTGTTATTTGACCCCGACCCCAGCGGTGATGATCTAGGGACGTTGGCTGTTGGAACTGACCGACCTACTGAAGTAGGATTGAACTGCGGGGCCATTGGAACTGCGCCTGCCTTCAATGTATTTTCCAGGTTCTGAATCATAGGCACTGGACGAGAAATGATATTTGTTAAGCGAACACGAACACCAATAAGAGATCAAAGCATGGTTACTTAAAATTACTTACATATGAGGGCGCCCATGGGACTGCTCATAACTATGTTGGGGAGGTCAAGAATGTAATCAGGAATGGTAGCACCAACTAAAAATTGTGCAACTTCATTACTGAAGTTGTTGCAGTTGTGTGAGAGTAGACTATAGGTTTCGGCTGTGTACCGAGGACTAATTTCCTGCAAGTACGTCTCAAAAATGTCCTTCGGAACGTGGGTCGTTCCTAAATCTATCGTCCGAATCGGTTTTCCATACGGGGTTCTTCCAGCAGGATCATGTTGAATACCTCCACCAAAATAATATTCATTGCCATACACAACAACTCCTGTGTGCCTGCCAAAAGAATAGGAAATAATTTTCTACCTAAGTTTCTATCAATTATCAAATGAAGATCATGAAGAAATAAAGTGCCAGAGCCTAAACTATGTTACTAGCATGCATTAGTAGAAGTTCAATGGAGCCAACCATAGACAACTCAACAAAGTTTTAAGTTTTTCAAAAAAACTAGTTGCCGATCCAGAACTTCAAGCACTGCACAAAAACGTGAAGGTTTCAAGAAGCGAAGTTGAAAATTGTGCTTGTTTCCGGCAACTAAATGTAATGGGATCAGGTAGCTGTCTTATAAGAATAGTCGAGATTCGTGCAAGCTAGCTCAGAAACGCACAAATATTAAAAAAAAAATTGAAAACATGAAGGTTTCAAGAAGCAAAGTTGAAAATTGTGCTTGTTTCCAGCAACTAAATGTAATGGGATCAAGTAGTTGTCTTACAGAATAGTCGAGCCGTGCAAGCTAGCTCAGAAACGCACAAATATTAAAAAAAAATTTGAAAATGTGAAGATTTCAAGAATCAAAGTTGAAAATTGTGCTTCTTTCCGGCAACTAAATGTAATGGGATCAGGTAATTGTCGTATGAAAATAGTCGGTATTGGCGCAAACTAGCTCACAAACTCACGAATATCATAAAAAAAATTGTTTGTTCCCTTGCGAGTTCTTTATGGACTCAACCGTTCTCGAAGAAAAGTTCGAACTCTTAGCCAAATTCCAAGAACAAGTGTGTATGAACTACTATTTAGTTCTTTAAATTTGACTAGCTAACAAAACAAATAACATAAAAGCGAAAAACCAGATGCTTATCAAACCATCATTAGCATTCAAGGTATCAGGCTATCCCTTTCTAATGAACAGGGCGTAATGACTTACCATATGGCCTCGATGGGTCTCCCAAGGAAGGCAGTGGACAGCTGCCGCGCTAGACCTTGGCTCAAGTCATAAACATTCAAAGTGACTTTCTGACCCTCCTGAAATAGACCCATAATCAGCTTCCAAACAACACAAGCCACAAATTGAAATGAATTAAAGGTGTTAGTCTTCACTACCTCAGCCATAACTCCAGCGTTTAATCAACAGTTATTCTTATTATCTTCAATTGCTCAAGGAAGCAAAATCAGCAGGAATAAGAGACGGATAACCTACGCAAATCACCAACGCATCAAGATATATTTCTCCCAACATTATCAAGAGAACCGGAAACTCAAAATTATCGTTAACGTCATATGCTTCTTCCAATTCAAAATATAGGGCAAATACAAGAAAAGATCTGCATTATGATCCATTGAATAATTATGCGTTCTAGAGAATTCCATGGCTGAAAAAAGCCCCAACTCCGATTCAAATTCAAAAAATCCCAAATGAAGGGAAAATTAGAAACAATTGTAAAAGATCCACCAAAAATATTCCGAATCAAAAGATGAAATGCGAAAAAAGAAGAACAAAATTGATCGAAAAGCGAGAGAAAGACGAACCTGAGAAGCAAGGTCGCGGAAGAGAGGCGCGCGATGTCTTGGCTAAAAAATGCAAAACGTAAGAATGATTTGTTCGGTAGAACTTGGAAGCGCATATATTATTGGAAAAGTCGACTGGACCATTGGAATTGTCTACGACTTTCTAGAATCTACCATTCCACCGTTCTTTCTTTCCTTGAAAGGCAAGCGTTTGAAAAGTCAACATTTATTAAAAAACTAAAAAACTAAATATTATACTAATTTTACGTTTGAAAAGTCAATACCAATTGATTTTATACTAATTTTACGTTGACTTTAAAATAAAATAAAAAATAAAAAACTAAATATTCTTGAATTATTAAAAATATATATATCTTTAAATTTTATTATCTATATATATAAGTCTTAATTAGTGCTCGTTTTTGTTTAAAATGAGCTATATATATAATCTTATATGAAACGAGCGTTGACCGTCTTTGTCTAAAGAATCTCTATGTTGTGAGAATTTTTTGCGACTCTTTTCTAGATAATCTTAATTCTTAATCTCGTTACACCTTCGACCCCTTTTTGTTTTATTTCTTTAACATCATAAGAATCGCAAAAAGAACGGTAAAACTCAATTGGTGAGCTCGGAAATAAACATGAATCAGTTATCGAGGTGTTTTAAGAAGTCATCTCGAACTTTATTTTAGAAGAATCTATTCGACAAGATCATTACAACTCGACGTGAAATTATTTCTGTCTCTCACATTGAATGAGAGTCGTCTTGGTAGGATCAATCTCGACTATCAATTACTATAAAATTGGGCCCTTGAAAAGTTCTCGAGGAGTAATGGTTCATCAACCGAAACGTAACTTCATTAGCTAAAATAATTATAATCTCGATCGAAAGGTCAGAGCTTTGAATTCTTAATCCTACAATTACCCTACCCCGCTTTTACCGTTTTTGTATCTCATCGTCACATTGGGGAGAATCCAATACTATACATGTAAAATCAACACCACACTGTGCATATCTGTTCTTAACAAATTTACAAGGAAGAACAACTTCCCCGGCGCGAGGCGGCGGCATTTTGCTTGGAGGAGGAACCCCATTCGATGGCTTCGGCGACTGCTCGCTGGCGTGCCTCGGCTATTTCCTCGTCGTTGGATTTTGATTGGTTGATCAAATTTTGATCAGATACTACCGATGAAGGATCATCGATCGACGACAACGACAAAGACGACGAGTGCGTGGCTTCTGCACCCAAGAAGCTAAGAGCTGTGACGACATCGCTGATCAATGGTCGCACCGTCGCTTCCTCGTGGAGGCACATTGCAGCCACCGCGACGGCTTGGTTTAGAGATTTCACAGGGAAGTCCCTACCCAAAAGAGGATCGGCCAGGTCCATGAATTTAGTTGGTTCCTTGAATATTGGGCATGCCTGCATGCATGAAAATGAAATATGTTCGTTTATGTTGTTGGATGGTCCACATCTGCTAATTTCAGGGAATTGTCGAGTTTATAATCAAATAATACTATCTCTGTTGGTATGAGGCTTCTTGGGAAGCCCAAACCAAAGCTACGAGAGC